GACGTATCTGCCTACTTCATCAGAAGCTTAGACCGGGATCCGTTTCTTTTTAGTAGCAACCTAAACACTATTCTACTAGCCGTTTGCCACAGTGTATCCATATGTTCTGATGAACTTCTTACTAAGTGTGGAGAGGACTCAAGCTGAAAAACTTCATTCATAGAAAAGTAAGGGCTAAGCTACGAAGATTGCCAACAGTACCAAAGAGGGAGTGACATGTGGTGTCTTGTAAATATACAAAATGAATTAAAAGAGAATAGCAACGAAGTTTTACTCAGAAAAGAAAATGTAGCTCTAAATACACTGGAATCTGTGGGCTACATTGCAAAATACTAAGTTCTCGTAAAACTGATATATCACTCATTTTAGAAAATGTTGAGATTGTCAGTGACCGTAAAATATTTTTTGAATATTCGAACTACTACACTATACTATACTGTCCTACACTTATGTTGATAGTGCACTCCTACAACCTTCATCCTCCCTACGTTCACAAAAACTTTAGAAGTTATCAGCTTTTCCTTAGACAATATTAAGAAAGCAGTTGCTTCTCCTGAAAGTTCAAACAACCCTGGTTGAGAAATGATCCCCCAACTTCTTAAAATATGGCAGTGAAGATATTTTCATTCTTTTTCTCGAAGTTTTCTGTACCTCTCAATCAACTGGGATATATCCAGATGCATGGAAAACCATCCGCATTACCCTCAGGTATAAGTCTGGCTGACGTTCATGTGTCATCAGTCACAGATCAATAAAGCTAACTTCTGTTAATTTAATTTTCTCGATCCTTATATCAACAAGTTTTACTGTTGCTAGTCCTCCGATATGTATAGTCCTCTCATTTTCGTTTATTTTTTCACAGCTGCAATCAAGATTTAAGCTCCGTAATAAATGTTTTCCTTTCTTTTTCCCCTCTCCATCCTAAGTCAAGAGAACATAAGATTCAATACTCAGCAACATGCTAAGATTTCCATCCTTTATAGGCAGTATTGTTTGAAACAAACCTACCATTATTGTTACCATCACTATCATTAATGTAGTTGTTTTCATTGTGGACACCGCACATTTCCGACATTATTCCTATAGCAACTGTGCAAAGGCTCCTGTGGGTAATTTTATTCATATTTTAAGTAAAATTAGGAATAAAGCAGACCATTATTGTAATTCAAGGGTTCTGGAGAAAATTGTAGAAAGTGTCGTCGAATGTTAATATCAAAAGTACAGTCTTATGGGATCCGTGGTTTTTTGCTGGAGTGACTCAGTTTGTTTCTAAGCAACTGTATGCAGATTGTAAAATGAGTTCCAATACTTCCATTGCCGTTCGAATAACAAGTTATACAAGGTGGTATCTTAGTCCACTATTGTTGCTGTTATATTTCAATGACATTCGCGACGTTATTAAACATAGCGGACGTTTTCAATTTTCCGAAGACAACAAGATAGTGTATCATTCTTTCAGGAATAACGTGTCATGCCTGTTTGGAAAGATTCAGGATGATATTGATAACGTTCAATTATAATGTGACGAGTGGAAAATGAAGTTTAACGTGGAAAAATGCGAAGTAATGCGTTTTGAAAACATTTTGCGTGAACTTTCCATCACCCTACACAGTATTCATTCTCCTCCCGCTAAACTTACAACAGATTTGGATTTCAAATGCTGCCAACAACTTAACCCTACAGAGTATATTGAATTACAGATACTCTGCGGTTTTAGTCCAAAACCTCAAAGAGTCTGAACCTCAGATTTTGCTGTGGAAGCTATGCATGAGACCATTACTTGAATTCGTCATCCTATCATGGAAATGTTTCAAAAAAGGCAGTTGTAAAGTAGAAAGTCTACAAACGGCTTCTACTTAAAGATCAGCAGGTGAAAAACTTTGTATTTCTTAGTAGGAGATTCGTAAGATATTCCACTTGTCACCTTTAGGTCACCTAAGAACTATAACCTCAAAAATAAATATTCACCTTTCAGTGTGCCCCGTTGTCATACAATATGTAGACCTCATTCCTACACCATGAAATTCCGTTGTATTTGGAACCGTTTCCCAACCAAAATGAGAAATAGTCCTACTCTAAAAATGTTCTCATATCTACTAGACGAATACTTTGTTCAAAGTGGGTTGGAAGCAAACTGTGACAACTTAAAAATAAGAGATCTCATATGGTAATCCTTTGGCCTCCCGAAACGCATGTATTAAAGCTTGTTAGCTACTTCTGCACCTCTCTTGCTCTCTTCTAGTTTCAGAGGTACTGTCTTGGACCACAGCATTGATAAAATGATGATTGGATTAGTGTTATTCAAATAGTGTTGCAATCACTAGAACTTACACTTTTCAAATATTCAGAATATTGTTAGTACGTCTGATGAAGGTCGGAACCACCTCTGTTATGAAAAAAGTTGGTTTCATATAACTGCTAACGTCACAGTTATGCTGTACTTACCGGTAACTTTAGAATTCTCCAAATTTTCGGGCTAAGTTAAGCTTTGGGGTCCCAAGGGTGCGAACGCCGCCCAATGACCTTGAACACATGCTAGTCGTTGGCTGACGACACCTGTCATTGTCATATTGCAAGTATGAACGCTGTTCATCAACTAGTGAGCAAATTTCACCCAGATCGCTGATTAAACACTGTTTGGACAATGTGTAAATAGCCATTGGGGTTAGGAATTGGGTTTAAGGTAGGTATTAGGGTTAGGATCAGGATTATGACTAGGATCATGATTGAGGTTGGGGTTCGGGTCAGAATCTAGGTTAGGGTTATGATCAAGGTTAGGTTTGAATTTGGTATTATCAACTTGAATTTGTCTTATTATCCGCAGTTTCCTATTAATTGGTTGTCGATCTTCTTACCGGAAACCATAGTAATTCAACCGATGGCTTTTGGTTAAGACCGTGAAACAAGGGGAGAGTGATTAACAGATCACAAAAAAGCCCACTTGAAGTCGCCTCGGTGGATACATGTACAGAAACTGGTGTAACTGAAAAACCTAAACTACCCATTGTGACCAGCACCTACTTTTAAGTGGTGCCAGAGAAAGATCACCCGTTTAATGTGTTTTCACGCACCTTCTTGTAAATGAAGGTAATTTTGTGAGCAAATTCAGTCCCTTTTATGGTTGGTCGGCTCCAGATTACTCGCGCTTTCGCACTCCTTAAGGAACTCCCTCTAGTTTAAATTTGCTGATTTTCGAGCTATTTAAATCTCATAAACTCATAGTGACAGTAAATTCGAAATCCCTTATGTTTCACTTCAGCACTTCTGTAACAAAATGCTTCTTAACTTCTACCAAAATGATCATTTATGATTCCCACGAAAAATAAAGTTGATGTAGGTATACTGCCACTTAAAATCCTATAAATACGATTGTACAGCCTCTGAAGATGATTTCGTCGATAAAGAAAATTTTCTTCGCTGAATCTGTCTTTTATTTTCTTCATGACTCAATGGGTATTTTCGGTGATCCTATAAATTCTCTAACTCATTCTATTTAAAGGAAATTTCAAAAATTACCTATATGGTTATTTGAGCTTATTTCAACATTTATGTCACTTTAATCAGTGCTCGATTTAAATATATATTGACAAATCATATCGTATTTTCCATCTGCTATAACTAGTGTTCATATGCTCATGCCTGTAAAATGGCTTGTTTCCGTTCAAGAAAACAAATTATTACTGCTTTTATTTGTGTACGCTAGAAACTTTGCACTCCATAGTGCTGAAGCAGTCGCAAAATCAATTCACATGTCATTTTAGAATCAGTCAGAATTTGACGTGGTGATGACTGCAGTTTTGTGCTGTAAATGTTGATGATGCCTAGAGTTGTAATTCGGTCCCCACAAGCCTGGCTTTCCCTAAATGGATGGCGGATACGCCCACGAAGTGCATCCTCTAGTCCATCCACTACGAAGTGCCTCACTATTTTGTCTGCTTTAAATTGAAACATGATTCCATACCACTCCTTCTGCTGCGACATAACACTTTTTTGGCGGGCTGACAAAGTAGCTATTCGTTCAGTCGCCAGGACTTATTCCTCCAGAACCTTCTACAATATTCGTATGAGTGCATCTACTGAGGTTTCCAAATTCTTTTTCACGGCTTCCTAGGAAATTCCGCACTGCCCTGCTGCTTCTCTGGCTTTCATTTTCTAAATGACCATGGAAACCTGATTTTTCACAGGGCTGGTGTTCACTGACGGTCCTGCCTGCTAGTTAGGTTACCGGAAGAGTTGTAGTCGGTAGCTGGATGGAAAGTCTTCATCCTAGTGTTCATTTTGACATAACAGTCTAGTAAAAAATGTTTCCTTCACTATCCTTTACTGGTTTTATCTGTAATGATCTTTGCCGTGACTGAGCTTACATTTCATTCCGAGGTTTCAATTGCCTGATGTCTGTACTATTTCAGTAGCCAGTGTGAGTAAATATATTTTGTCTTTCGCGGATGTCTTCTTCGATATTTTATGCATTGCTGTGTACACTGACACCACCTACTTTTGTGGTTCGTTTCTGAAATCGTTCATCTTCTGTTTCACCACCCGCAGTGCAGATCAAGATGAAGTGAGGCAAGAAAGTTTCTGGAGGAAAAAGGGAGACCTGTTTTTAGTTGTCTTCCGCATTAACGAATGTATTGGGTTCTCATTTTCTTTTGTTCTTGAGCTGACTATATTCATTGGACCCATTAAATCTAGAGAACGAAATATGTTTTTTCCTTCATAAAAGCTCACCTTATCCAGTGTTTCAGTTAGCAGTGTCATGTACCACTTTTCTCAGTTATTTATGAATTGTGCAGTCTTTTCATAAGATATATTATTATTATATATTGGACATATGTTTACCCCGCCATTTTCTCTTCCTGTGTCTCAAGGCCACAGGATATGGTTTTGTTTACATCGTCAGACCACATGTATAGTTATTTGGTAATGTTTCATTAACTGATGGTGTAATGAGAGCTTATTCAAATACATAATCAGTTGCAAACAGTTATTATTAGCATAGCATGGGTAAGTAAATGTATTCTCCCAACGCATTTCTCCTAGATGGCTGTCTAGAACGCATACCGTTTGTTTCATTAATCGCTCTACTTTTGGTGGTATGTGGATCAGGAATCATGTGTGGCACAAATTTCGAGGCACTAAAACGTATCGACGATTTCTTTGAAGATAGATTTTATCCAATAGATGAGTAAGATTACATAAATCAATGTTTAAAAGAGATTTCCAAGTGTTTGTTCAATGTGGTGTTATATTTTTCTTTTAAATAGTTTAACAGATGAAATGACTTGAAAAGCACTTTTAATTTACTAAGAGTAGGGATCAAACAAGGAGATAATTTACGCAAGTTGTTAAAAACCAAGTGGTTACAGATTTATAGCGGCCATATCGGAGATTTCTCTCTCCTGCCAATAAAATTAACAACCACGTGCTACCCTCGAAGGTTTCTAGTACATTATTTTTGCTGGATTAATTATGACGAACTAGCTGATGCCACTTGATTCACCAAAGCCAGTGTAGTTTTCGGATGTCTTGATGTGTTCTTCGACATGATGGTTTTACATCAGCTGACAGTACTTGATGTCTTTATAAATATAAATATATATATATATATGTACATATGTATATATACCCCAGCAGTGAATCACGTAACCTTTCTGTCTGCAGGCCTCAAGTCTTCCGAACGTTGGGCATCATGGTTTGTGTTCTAACAATGGTCCTCAGCTTTGCCAATGTCATTGTAGGAACAGTAACAACGGGTGACACGCGCTCTAAAGTCTATTCCGATAAACACTGTGTTATGTGCGGTTATCGTTCGTCGCGTCTTGTAAGTCTGTTTGATTATTGAGATAATTCATGTCACTTTACGCTGTTTCCTGCCCGGTTTTTTTCTCTACATTTACATGATTTTTCTTACAGTTAAACTTAACGTTTGTGATATATTCATTGAACCTGGTTGTCTAGTCTAATTTTGCTTGAAAACAAGTTGGTTTTAATTTCGCTGTTAGCCACTTCCGTTTCAGTAAAGCAGAAAGACTCGTTTAGACATTTAGATGACGAAAGCATTGAGCCAAATAATGTTTACTTTATCCACGGTTTCATTTATATATATTTATATTCACCAGTAAAATTATATCGGTATCCAGACTTTTAGTCCTGGTTTTATATTACGAAATGTTTTCAGAGCGGTTCTTGTGTTCATTCTTAGCTTTTCCTGGGAATCGTGAAGGAGGTTAAACTGTCGCGTGCTGTCGTGAGATGTAAGCTGGTTGTGCAGAGTTCGCACCTGTCTATGCATCTCAACTCCCTCGGTGTCAGATAAATCATGTGACAGGGATTCGAAGTGTTTTTAGTCATGCCTTGAAGCCAAAATTAGTGACTATCGTGCTGCAGCTTTCCTATACGTCGTGATTGATACTCTGATTTGCTGAATTATAATGCAAATGCATGTATATTTTTATATTGTTATGTTAATTTTTACTGCACGTTTTTTGGTTTCATGACGTATCACTAATGCGTGTAACTAAGTATGTACATACTGTAGTTTTACAGCAAAGAAAAATTATTTGTCTGTGTACTTTCTTCAAGCGTATTTTATTTGACATTTTTTGTTTCTTTTTTGAATTACATTTACAGTTGTTACTTCTGGCTTATTTGGCCACATTAGTTTGGCTTTTTGTTTTCATCGCTTTGGCTGTACCGGTTTTTCTTTGGGCAATGATACACGTGGTTTGCAGAGAAGAGACAGATTACTGGCGAAATATTAGTGCTGATAAAGACGAAAGAGAATTTACCTATACATTCAACCTCACTCATTATGGTATGTCTTTTGTTTTAAGGGTTTTCTCAGTTGTTCGCAAATATTTCTCCATTCTCTACATTTATAAGTACATGCGCAATAGCCAGGATCAGGAATACATTAGTCAGTATGATGTTGGTTTAAAGGTTCAATTAAGAAGTGTCAAATATTCAGGGTGAAATAAAAGTAACTCTGATGTCAATTGTATCACAAGCATTGACACCAATGTGGAAAAGTAATTCATGTATACATGAAATGTGGATGAGTCTTTCTTTGTCTAACCTGAGATAGACGATTATCAAGTACACATGAAGTTATTGTTTACTTAACTATACCTACTAGTTTATTTTAATTCATACTTTACACTAGTTACTGTATCACACTGCTCATGTATTTATAACTGTAGAGCTGCAAATGTTATTATAAACAGTTATTCGTCCTAATTACTCTTTTTTGAATAATTTTCACTGGTTTTTAGAATTTTTATCCATCGAGCGTTCAATAATTAGTGTGTAGGTATTCATAGAATTTAACAGCATTTTTCCATCGGAATCCCACAACTATATTCTATATTTTATTGGTAGATAATTACAGTCACCACTCTATTCCATTGACGTACATCAAGTGTTTCAACTCATTTTAGTTGATACAGGCCGTTACAACAACTTTTTGTTGTAATATTTATTACAAAGGCAAATGATGTTACTTTTAAAATATTTTTTAGGCCTTTATCGTCGACCATTGGATACTAGCTTATGGAATGAATACGTGAATTCACCAAGTGCATTTACGCAACTTTGTCAAGAGGTAAGTCCTATAAGTAGATGTTGTTACCTACTTCTCATTTAGTCAGAATTACATGATAATGTTAATCTGTTTTTTTTTTAGAATTGTTAAATAGTTAGCTATTAAAAATAATTGTTATAGAGTTGGGTATCATCAATGAAGACACTGCTGTTAATCATTAAATCACAAGTAAGATAGATAGATTCACGTAGGAAATTGCAAAGGAGTTCGTTGCTTTGAGTTGTCGCATTTCAAAATACACGAAAAACATGAGAAAAGAGACAAAAGCCACATCACTTTGGAAAAAGACTTTGTTCCCAAAAGTTGTTTTCTTACTGTAGAGTAGTGTGAGGCTGACATCTATGCTGTACATTCGTTACGTACTATGTAACCACCAAAGGTAATAAAAATTTTTAAGCTCTGATAGAAAATTAAGAGTCTCACTGAGACCAATCAGGTCATAAAAACTAATACGTTCCTTCAAATGTATTGAATAGCAATGCATTCAGCCATGTTTTTACACATTCTTAAATTTGAGTTAGTTAGGGATAAGAAAGTATGCTGCTTTTTGTTCTTAAATTTCAAAATCTATATCTTTTCGTTAGTTATCCATTGTTCACTGAATTTGTAAAATTATCGGCATAGAGTCGAACTAGTGCTTATAAATATGATACTACAGTTTGACAGTGAGATAGCATTTCGTACGAAAAACCATTTCTAGTTTTGTCTACTTTGCAACGTTGTAACTTTTATGCACCAATTTTAGATTTCTACTATTGGACCACTATTTGCAAGTGCTTTGATCGCATCCCTCTTGGTTATTCTAGGTTTGGTGAGTTGCACTGCATTCCAATCTTTAATTTTATGGCTGTAATTTGAATGGTGATTTTTTCTATGTGACGTCTTGTCTGATTTATTACGGCATTTCTCATTCATTTGTTTGCGTCAGCAAAGATGTGAGAAAAGCAGATTTTTTATATCCATGCTTCTTGTTAACCCCAGTTAATCTGGATTTCCAGTTGAGGTGTCCTATATCAACACTTGTAACTTATGTGCATTAATAAGAATGACTTTATCATAGTGCACTAATTTAATGCACAAATTTACGGAAAACAATATTTGAAATGGAGAACTAATGAATTATAAACATATTTGTTAGGAGGTAGGACATCCACTGTTATAGAAGAAATTGGAAGTAAATAATTGTGGATTACCTAAATCCAGCCACTCGGGAGGTACAGGATCCAATTCAGGTTGACGCACTTCTAAACCTCGCCTAGTTTACTAGGTGGTAGCGAGATAAGGAAAAAGGAGCGATATGATGATGGCAATTTGACCCTATAAACAACCACCGCTTGAAGCTGTGTTCCACTGAGTACGTTAGGAATTATAAATACACACTTCGAATCATGTTAGGCGTAGAGTGATAGGTAATCAAGGAAAGTTGATCTGTGATATTGTGAAGCCACGTCGATTGGGATATCTAGGTTATATTTTGCGCATGTCAAGCCACCGCGTTCCTCGAGGAGCAATGTTAGGTGGCATAGGGTTAATTTGGAAATTAGTTAGGCTTGGTCAAATCAAAGTATGGTGTTAATCCATGAAGCCTCTGACAGCTAGTTTGAACCACATAGGGAGGTGTAGATTGCCCGATTGGGGATGATAAGAACCAATGGTTGGAGATGGTTTGTGGCATTGCTCGAAATCGTTATCAGAGGCGCAGGTGCATTCGTTGTCTGTAATCAATCAGATCCCCTAAATCCTTATGGTTTTCCGTGTTACTACTGTTTCGCTCGTACATTTCTGCTCAGTGTAATTCTCTTTAATTCCTTTTTCTTACCTCTACCTTTGTATGCTACATGGAGTGTAGCAAATTAAACTTCTGTGTGTTGAAGACCCAGTCAATCAGTATCATGTTACATCGAGTCTTCAGACACTAGCCTATAGTACTTCCTAGATTTACAGTTGTGTAATCTACATTTTGTACATTAATTGAGACAACTGGTAGTGACTTCTTCTTTAGATCCTGAACCTCGGTATGGCAAACATAGGGTTGTTTTAATTGAGTTCTTTACAGCTACTAGTGCACATGAAATCCAGACTGAAATCCTTATTATCTGACTTGGTTTCCGTATTCAGAATCACGCCTAGTCCCAACAGTCATCACCTGTCGCCATCAGATTACACGGGGAAACCTGTTTAAATCCTTGCAACTTAATCGGATATCCTACTATAAGGTGAGATAAGGCGAACTGGCGTGGAACATATGTAATTTTCGATAGATGATCAGGTATATTTACAACATATGTGGTGAAAACAGGTATGCACTAAAGGAGTCCTTTGTATTTGTGGGAAGGATTAATTCGTAATCTTTGTTTCAGAGATTATTTTGGTTAATACAAGAAGCACATTTATCGCGTTCATTTCAGCTAGGCAACTAATTAGCTAAGTTCTGCTCACTGTGTTCACACGATACGGATTGTCCCTTCAAAAGCGAGAGAAAGAGTGTAAATGCTCGACGCCAATCATGGGATTGGTTAGGGAGGACTCATGTAAGATAGTTGAGTAATCTTAGTGTTAGACTAATAGTGCCTATGTGTTCCAGGATTTGATGAGAACAATTGTGTAGGCGTCTATTTCACCTAGTGGGAAGCATGAGATTGGAGCTCCCTACGTTGTTCTGCGACCGTGTAGGCCAACTTTTAAGTACTCGGGGAGTGATTGCTTGAGACAACTATGTGCTGCTCCTAAGAAAATGTGATATGTTTCTTAGTAGTCATAATTGCTATTCACTAATGTCACTCTTATATGTCTCCTTTGTACATCTTGCTGAGTTTTTTTCACACTCTCCAACTTGTTAAGTCAATACTCAACTGCCCGGCTTCTTATAGATTAACAGTTTTCACTTTGTCAAATTTCAAACTCTTCGAGTGTTCTGTTGATTGTAATTTGTTAACTGTAGAAACCACTTGGGACTAATTGTATCAATCACATCATCCCGTATTATTCAATAATACACAACCATGCGTTTCTGGTAAATATAAGCACGATTGTACAGCCTTTGAAGATGATTTCGTCAATGAAGAAAATTTTCTTCACAGAATTGTCTTTTATTTTTTACATGCCTCAATAGATATTTTCGGCCAGTTGCTATTAAATATATTAGGCATTAGTGCTGGTTAGTTTGAAAGGAAAAACTTAGGTGTGAAACACACGTTATATTTCGTGTTTTCTGTTGAATTTGTTTGGTGACTTTCCAGTAGTTTCCTGAAAACATTCACATGTACAATATGCGGGAAGAGTTTCTTTGGACATAGTCATTGTGACGTCAAATGACACAAAAGTAAACTGGCTGTCGATTTAGTATATAATGGCTTCTGAAATCTCTTTCAGGAAGATAAAAGTCCCTACACTACGTGAAACTAGTCTTCCAGACCTCTTATCATGGTGAATTCTTTGTATAAACGGAATAAACTACTTCTGTGTTTTCTTTAAATAATAATTTTTCTCTGATTATCTCATCCTTAGCTCTTGAAATACACGTAGTTACATTTTGTTTTTAGAATATATCCATCGCGTGTTTATCTACAGTTCCGGAACGACTGCAGTATTTCTTTGAAATTGATCGTTATCGAAAACTAGTGAACTCATCGCCTCAGACAGATCCAACGTGCTTGGAAGAATATTCCCTTCAACCTTTGTTACAACAGCCACGATCTATTCATTCCATTGGTTCATGTATTAAATCAAATACACTGCATTTCCCTCCGGACAACATGGATATGATTCATCCTTTCATGAATTCAACACCATCTGGCATGCGTCTCATATCGAATCCAAACATATATAACGATTCGCAAATGTCTCAACAATTCTATTCTCACAAACCTGCAAGGCACTCTACTTACTCACATCAGTCAACTACTTTGAGTAACAATTACTGAATCGAATAAATATGCACTATTTAGTCGTCTCGATGTAAGGCAAATGATCCTCCTGAGAAAAACATTTTGTCCATTGATTGTATATCGCATGCCCACATCTATCCGGTCTCGTATTTGCCTTTATTCAGTCCTTAATACATTTCCAGAATTCCATTTTATTATCCTCAGGTTTTACTTTCATTCCATGTTTGTTTTGTACTCTTGTATATATAAATGTGCATTGTATAACTTTTTCCTTTCTCATTATTTTTACTTAATATGCATTTATTATTCCCCCCCTATTTGACGTAAATCGTTTAACTCACATGTGACATCATTGTTTATGTTCCCAAAGCTTAACGTTGTCTTTTCGTGATGCTTTTTTCAGGAACTGTATTTTGATTTATTTTGTGCACTTTGTTATATTAGCTACCTATTCAGCCATTGTTGTGGATTACAAATGCACTGATATTTTACTTGTTTAAAATATATATATCGGCTTTCCATTATTACACTTACAGTAGGTGTAATTGTACAATAAGACTAGCAACACTCAACAATTGCATCAAATACGCATTTAGCGATTCACATAGTCCGTGGTGAAATTCCACCATATGAATGGGTTAAATCTGTTACTAAAGAAGACAAAGACTAGGCAACAGATTGCTTATTGAAAAAATCAAGAGATATTTATGTACATTACTGTCAGTGGAGAAGCAGCGTCTCCTGATTGGTTGTTTTCTTGCTGAAGGTTGTTCTGTATTGCTCATGACCGTTTCTCAGAAAGTTAAGCCATATATCTGCGAATCGTATTTGCACACGTTAAGTTCGCTGTGATTGGTTAGTGAGTTCCTCAAGGTAGTTAGGCTTTGTTATTGTTTTTCCCGGGCCCCTGATTCGGGACGGAACATTATTGTCTACAATTGTGGCTTATTCGCAGCCAGCTCTCACCACAAATTTGCCTTAATTTTCAAAGCGATCCAACTATGGAAACTCATGTACTAACTGTTCTGTGTCGGCTTCTTGTAGACTGATCTCTGACGGGACAATCAAATCTCTTATAACACTTAAAAATAATGAAATTCTTATATCATCCTCACATCCCAATATGGACTGGAACTCCATCATAACTTCGAAGTCGGCATCTTTATCACATAGAGACTCAGTAATGGGTCGAAACACGTCATTTCCTAAATTTGCCATGAAGCAGTCTGCAAAAAGAGGACCTATTGGTTAGCCCGTTGACACCCCCTCTATGTTAGTACTCTGTCATTGAATCTGACACTAAAAGTACACATCAGCGGTAATTCTTTTAAGAAGTGGGTCGGGGCACACATTTTTCCAAGTTGCTATCGTCATTAAGTTAGCATAGAAAGCTAATTTTCGGTTAGAGAGATACTAGTGAAGGGGAGGTAACATCCAGAAATATCGTCACCTTCCTGGATACGTTAGTGGTTTCAAAAGAATCTGACACACTACAATGATTGAAATTATTTCCCACTGGTAAGAAAATGAGAGCCATTTAGCGTTAGTAAACTGTTCATGTCCAGGGTTTGGCGCGGCGGCGTATTCCCTTCATGCACTTTAGGGAGACTTCGTCAATAGGAACTCTGTTTATGAATCGATAGGTATAACACAAAGAAGATGAAAGACCTTGAGTATCACATTCACTTAGGTTGGACAGCACATGGACTAAATTATTCCAAGCAGCGTAATTTCACTTGCGGAAGTTGGAATGCTGTTGGTATGCAATCTAGGCTTCGTTGTTAGTGCGGTGATCAAAAGTTGTCGATTAACTCTGCAGTGTAACTACTAGGCTGCGACACATCGAATCTGAGGCTTAAATTAGATGTTACTAAGAGTCAACCATGCATCCAGATTCCCTGACAGCCAGTACTCATTTGTAACCATCAGGCAACCAGTTCACACAATTCATTCTTATGCCAGATAACTAATGGGTTTAACTTATTATTCATAAAGCCTGACTTTGACGTTGGGTATTCCAGGCTTCAATAGTAAATAAATATGAGCATCACCATAGATGAGACGTAGGCCCAAGAAGCTGAAGAGGCAGTTGTATCATGTTTCGAAGGTGGAAGATAGATAACTCCCTTAACTAAGAGTTAACGCTTAAAGTCTAAGCTTCCTGTTATTGGTCCCATGGAACACTTAGAATGATAAAGACAGTACTGGTCGGAAGTCTGTATTTGCTGGCCATGTTTCGCAGCCTTAAAGCAGGACACAGTGCACTGGTGTATAATACACCATTTCATTTCTGCGCAGTCGAAGAGTATGCGAACGCAAATCAGCTGTTAAGACAAGTGACAAACGTGTCTGTTTTACAGAATGAAACTTCTTGATCGATTAATTTTAAATTCCCTTTTAGGTCAAGAAATACAGCTAGTGTCAGCCACATATAATTATGCTTATGTTCCAGAACCCGGCCGATAACTGCTACCTTGCCGTGGTGGTCGGGCTTGAATGCCGCAGTGTCCCAACAAGCTAAACTGGCTGGGGCTCATGTCCCTGCAGGTCTTACCATGCCAGGTAGGTTGTTTGGATAGCGGTTAGACTAAAATCAGTTACCATGGGGTACATGGGCTCCAGAATCCAATCGGATCAAATGGCGTACGAACCCATATGGGTCACCGGCAACCATGGGAACGCAGCACCTGACGCTGCTCCGCTGCCTTGCGGATTAGACTCCAAGTCAAAGGCTCGGGGGGTGGTCCCTTAAGAAAACTACCTGCTTCGGTCTGGGCACCCTGGCAGTATCTCAGACCTCACACAATAAATGAAATAAAGCAACACAATATCAGTGGAACTTATCGCACGCTCGTAACAATGCGTTCAAGCAATAATGATGTCTCAAGTAACACATCTCTTTCCAACCTTACTTTTATTTTTATACTTAGTTTCCTGTATTTTACCTTTGCTCACCTTGACTTCTTAACCTTCGACAGCCTTTCGCCTTTGTTTGGATTCCTAGCCTATCTGTGTCGTTTCGAGATGTTAGTGAGTAACCCTCAAAATGGCTGTCCCCAATGTGACATCTAACACAGATATCCTGAAACCGCGTTCAAGCTGGCCACCTACAATGTCCGGACGCTGATGCAAATCGGACAACAGGCAGGGTTGGTATGAACGTTGGAAAGCCTCGCTATCGATGTCTGCTGCATTTCGGAGACTCGCATCCAGGATCCCAGTGAAGTGCTTCGATTATCCTCTCCATCTGGAAGTCCTAGTAGTATGTACCACCTGCGCTTGTCCGGGGACCCTGTGGCGTCGGCGTCGCACTGAGCGCTAGAGCCGAAGCTGCACTGCTCGACAGTCGTTTATGTGCTGTGAGGCTGGAAGGTTATACGAAAGTAAGGAGCAGTAGGCCAGATAGGTGGTGTCTATTTGTTGTCTCTGCCTATGCACCAACGGATTGCAGCCCGGATGCAATGAAGGACGAGTTCTACCACCAACTTAACGATCTCTTGAGACAGGCGGGTCGGAGGGATACCGTAGTGCTGGCTGGGGACTTGGATGCACAGGTCGGGCGTCTAAGCTCAGAGGAGAATCGTCTAGGTGGTCAATGGGGACTACATGGTCGCAGGTCAGATAATGGGGACCGCCTTCTGAAGCTATGCGCGAATCACAACCTATTTCTGGCCAGCACCAACTTCCGGCACAACCATCGCCGTAGCGCTACCTGGCGTCCTCACTCTGCGAACCAAGCTTGGACTCAGATCGATCACATTGCTGTCAGTTTCCGGTGGCGAGGATGCATACAAGACTGTCGCTCCTTCTGGAGCACATGCCTGGACTCCGATCATGCGTTAGTGTGTGCCAAGTTCGTCTTGCGATTTGGTGGGGTTCATAAAAAGCGTCGTCTAAACGTTGATGTGAGCAAACTAGTAGCACCCGCTACTTGTTTGAAATATCAGAATGAGTTACAATCAATGCTTGCCAGCAACCCCCCAAGTAGTATAGATGAACATTGGCTCCATCTGCATGGTGCCATGCAAAGAGCTAGTGTAGCCGCTTGCGGCTTGAAAGAATGCTCCGCCAAAAACCACTGGGTTTCTGCGAGTTCCTTGCAACTCCTGGATGAACGCCGGTCCATTCCGGCTGGCAGCGAATACAGCAATAAGCGAAAGGCGCTGACGCGCAAGATAAGAAAGTGTTTACGTAAGGACCGCGAGGTCTGGTGGTCAGAACGTGCGGGTGAGATGGAGTCAGCTGCTGCATCTGGCAACAGCCGGAAGCTGTTCCAACTCACCCGAGCCACCGGCAGCAAGAAACAAGGTGTCAGCGAGACGGTCTGTGAGGCAGATGGCACGCCAATTACCAGTTTGAAAAGACGCCTGGAACGCTGGGCAGAGCACTTCGGGAAACAGTTTAGCTGGCCACCAGCTTCAATGTCTGCTGTCATTAGCCCCAGTGCTCCTTGGTCGGTTAATGCCGACCCACCCACCGAAGTGGAGGTCCGTAAGGAACTCCAAGTGTTAAAACGCCATAAGGCGCCCGGCCCAGACAATTTACCCCCCGGCTCTTTTTAAAGATGGTGGCGAGACTTTTACAATGGCTCTAACTGGGTTGTTCAGGAAGGTATGGGAAACTGGGAGTGTACCATCAATGTGGAACGAAGCCATCATCGTCCCTATCTTTAAAAAGGGTCGACGTAATTCGTGTGACAATCATAGGGGTATCAGTCTGCTACCAGTCGCGTCTAAATTATTGGCTTCTGTCTTGCTTCGCAGGCTGTGCAAAATACGTGAAGGATTGATTTGCGAAGAGCAGGCTGGGTTTCGTTCAGGTCGTGGATGCATTGATCATGTGTTCACCCTTCGTCAGTTGTTGGAACACCGCCACACGTATTGCAGGCCAACGATCGTTGTGTTTCTTGATATTAGGGCTGCCTTCGATTCATTGGACAGAACTGTACTCTGGAATTGTCAGTTAGAGAGAGGTGTACCTGAGAAATTTGTTAACATCTTGAAAGCCCTATACAGAAACACCTCAGGTAGAGTGAGGGCATACAACCAACAGTGGGGTTAGACAGGGTTGCCCAATCTCTCCATTTCTCTTTAACTTTGCCATCGATGACATTCTGGAGTCAGCTCTGAAGGATGTGCGTGAAGGTGGTGTAGATCTGCTACCTGGAGATAGACTTTTCGACCTCGAGTATGCAGACGATATCGTCTTACTGTGCGATAGCATGCAGGCTGCCCAAATCGCACTTAATCAGTTGGCGATCAGTGTCTGTAAGTATGGTATGTGCTTTGCACCATCTAAGTGCAAAGTACTGTTACAAGATTGGCAGGAGCCTGTACCTGCTCTCACTCTTGCGGGTGAACCGCTTGAAGTTGTTGATAAGTTTGTGTACCTGGGTAGTTGTGTGAGTGCTGGTGGAGGGGTGACGGATGAGATTTCCAACCGTATAATGAAGGCTAGGGTGACATACATCAAGTTGTGCCACCTCTGGCGCCGTCGCGACGTTAGCCTGGCTGTCAAAGGTCGGGTATACAATGCTTCGGTACGGGCTGTCTTACTCTACGCCTGTGAAACCTGGCCTCTCCGAGCTGAGGATGTGCGGCGACTCTGCGTGTTCGATCATCGCTGTCTCCGCAGGATTGCTTGCGTTCGATGGCATCATCGCGTGAGTAATTCTGAGGTTCGGCGGCGTGTGTTTGAACACAGTGGAGATCACCATTCATTGAGTGTCGTCATCTGGAAACACCAGCTCCGGTGGCTTGGACATGTGCTGCGAATGTCATCCCAGAGGCTTCCGTACAGGTCTCTGTTCGCTGCCAGCCCTGGGAAGGGATGGAAAAGGCGGAGGGGTGGTCAGTCCATGACGTGGCGTCGTGGGATGAAGGATATTTGTGCTAGATTAGCATCGGTTGGTGTGTCACGACTCCCTGGTTGGGGTCCGCGAGATAGCTCGAAACGTTATCAGATATGGCCAGGAATCGTAATCAATGGCGAACGTGTTGCAATTTCCTTCTTTCTTCCCTTCCTGATGATAGTTAACGAATACTGTTTGAACTTGTTAAACATGACTGTTTTCCTTCCTGATGAAGTTCGTTATCCGTTTTCTACCTATATTTTTAATTTTAATCTATGTTGTTTTATTATTATTGTGTGGTGCATCTTTCTTGGTGCCATATTGTACCAAGTTTTTTTTGGGTTTAAATAATAATAAGAATCTGCTTCATAAAAATGGACAATATTCTCGTATTTGCGTTGTTTGACTGGGATTTTAGAAGCTCCGTTGGTCAAGCTGATCTGGTTATCAGAAGACGTGTTTGCCCCTTGCTAAAACATCAATGTGAGGGATTCGTGCAACTCTGCTGACTAAGATCAGTTAAGAATCCAAAAGTAATTCTTAAGTTTCCGACTTCTTGACTAATACAATAAGCTAGGTCTTTCATATGCTGCGTCTTTTGGATGCTTGATTCCAAGGTGAATTTGTCACCATCACTTACAGAACTACTGGGAATCAGTGACCATTAGACAGGTGTTCTATCTTAGGTTGGGACCGTTTCGTAGTGTGCACATATTACCTCGTCAGATATCACACCTAGGTTTCAAGATATGTACATTACCATCCAGCTAATGAGTTGAATTCAATTTGCAGCATAGCGATTACCTCAATCAGTGATATCGTCCTGCCAAAGTCACAAACTGAGACGAATTAGCTGTTCATTGCTCTGCTTTTCGATGGCTTTCTATCTGATACGCGCTTGTGGCGGAGTCCACTTAGTATCCAAAAGAATCTACTTTATTTGACCATTGCGAACACACGTCTACACATATTAGGTCAAGGTAGTACTTCTCGGTTGAGGAAGTCTTGCGGCAATAGATGTTTGGCTATTTCAAAGTTTGGAGGGGAGAATTTCCTGAAATCTTTCCAAAAATATGGATAGGTAATCTCCATACTTTGGAGTTTTGATCAATCTTACTGCCTGTAAGCAAAACAAATTTAATATTTTTGGTATACAAACTGTAAAATGAAGATAAAAAGACAGATGATTCGGAATTGCTTTCTCTGATACCGCCATTACTAATGCCTTGGCCTAATTTTATTAATCAGAGAAGTAGATTTAATTAAGAAATATATTGACACTCAAATTAATCTTTACAGGTTGAGTATATAGCGAAATGAGAAATATATCAATGACAGTATCTTTACCAGCCATCGACTTTACATGCTTCACACTATATGGATGGAACCCACAGATCAGTATTACTTTTTATCACCAGATACTCGCAATACAAGCGTGTTTAACCAGCGAAAAATAATAAAAACAGGAAGTTAAGTTAGAATACAACTAAAAGCGCAAACACACAGTAAACTAAGGCACAAGGATATGCCACAAGAATGCGTTGGTTTTGCATATCGAGAGTACGAACAAATAACTTGCTGGATGCTACTGTACACCAGAAAACAACCGCCATTGTCATTACAACGCCTAATACTGACCTAGAATAGGAGGAACAGAAAATAAATTTAAAACAAGATTAATTATCGAATGGTAATATGAATACCCATGTCTTGTACTCTGAAAATACCATCCTCAGAGTTTTCAGTGAACAAACAACAAAATATCGCCAACTTTTGACATAAAGAAAATTAATTAGGGAATACAATGCAGGAAGTGTGGATAAATAAATCCCTACAAAACCAATACTTGAAAATTAATCTGATGCTCAATAGCGACTGACCCTATTCAGGCAGTGACCTGGGGTTCTAGTGGGAAGCCGTGACCAGTATGGTACAGCAGGTTGGCAATAAGGCAGTAACTCATCGAAGAAGACACTGAGAAGTGGTCGCGCTATGTCGTGAATTGGCAGAAGTTGGAATTCATGGGTCACTGGATCGGGTCCCAGTGGCTCAATGGTCTACGAGCTCACCTTGTAGCCAGAAGGTCCTGGGTTAGAACCCCGGTGGGTGCGTGCTGCTGAAGAGTCCAGTACTCCCTGGTTTTCCAGTGGTTCTCTAACTGATGTCAGCTCATGATGAAATCCTCCGTCCAGTAAATTCTTAGGCGACCTGCTTAAATCATAGGGTTACCGAAAGTGCTTTCCACAAAAATGCTTAATTTCACCTGAATTTGTCATCGTTCTAATCGTCCAGTTATATCAAATGACCTATATAAGAAATTGCGCGCTGATTTAACTTGTTATCGAGTAAACACTGTGCAATTCTTCAATGAAATGAGGATATATTTCAGATTATTACTTCACATGCAAATCCCTTATTGAAGAAAAAAAGTAAATACGCTGAAAATTTTTGTACCATATATTCGCATACTGTCTCAAATAAAGCTTTATTATTATTATCTTCTATAGTTGGTTTGTAAGGATTAGTTTTGTTTTTACGAGTTAGTAAAAAGAAAAATAATATCTAGTGCTGTAGGTCAATTAGAAAAAGTTGAGTTTACGCTCCACCAAAGCAATCTTTATCAACTGAAGAAACAGATTACGAAGTTAATTAAATAAAAAGTGGAGAAAGTTAAAGTAAGCAAACAAAAGCAGACATATTTTATTGCTTGTGATGCCAACCTCCCTACATTAATAGCTCGAAAAGTTACTACTTTATAAGTATGCTACCGGAGATTCTCGTTATGAAGTGTTTTACATATTACAGGTTTACAACTTCAGGACTTTTACTTGAAAGTGAATTTCGTTGAGAAAATTAATTCACCAGGTCATGTGACACTATTATAAATAACCTCTTTAAAATGTTGTGCTGAAGAAACAATTTCCTAGGGGGTCCTGATGACAAGAGTTTCATATACTTATAAAAAGTCAAAAATTCAAATGAATACAAATGGAAAACAAGTCTTACTTGAGAGACATGACAATACCGATTGATGAAAGTAGGCACATAGGAAGCAGACAATATCCTAAAGTTGAAACTACACAAGTCGGAGTAACTCCTCTTGGCGTCATAAGTGTCAGCAACAGATATATTCCCACACAACCAAATACTCCTAATCCATAGATGTAATTGAAATGAATCTTTCCAGCCTACAAAGGGATTCCCCGAAAATCGAATAGAAACAGAAAAATGTAAACTATACCAAATAAACTATTACACAAGCGAGGAACACTAATAATAATAATAATCTAATTAGTAACACGAAAACTTACGAATAGTAAAGTGCAACCAAAGAGCAAACAGAAAACCAAAGGTCCAGCTAAGTCCGTATCATCCAGGACTTCTTGAGAACTTTCCTTAAAAGGTAGTAGGACAGATGATGTCTGAAAACGGATTAAGAATTATGAAAATTATAATATATACCAATCACATAAACGTAGCCGAATTATATACAACAACAAAAAACTTGGAAATTACATTTTCAAGCGAAAACTGAATCACTTGCACTGTTTACAGAAACACACATATTGATTGTAACCAGAGAAGAATCACCGCTACATAGTGCTGTGTACTTATACATCTGATACTAAGCAACTGTGTTAATTCTAAAATATCTTGCCGGGATTATGAAGCTGAGGTAACTAATGCACAATTGAATTTTATTATACTATATACTGACAGTAAAACCGATGGAGAATACATTGGTGACTTTACTATGAAACTGAGAAGTAGACTACTAGGAAAACATTATGCAATGTCAACAGAAATAAACAGAGGCAATGTTAAATACTAAACAACCAACTCTACAGTGAGACGGTAGTGTCCTGAATGTAGTAGAAGTAACAATATTACTAAGTACAAAACTTAGGCGCGAGTCTCAGAAGGGACGTGCGTCTTCCCATGATTATAAACACCCTTTATCGATGCATTAAAACAAATATGATGTCAAATCTACAGTTTCAGATCTGTTGGTAGCTGATATCCAAAACATCTAAATAATTCAATGAACATATAACATTGAACACCTTCAGTATGTAGAAATCCAGTCGAACATTTATGCAAAATTTAAAAAAAAAAAAAACAAATGCGTACGCAAAATATGCTTACTTTTTGAATAATATGACTAAAATTGATGCCAAGTTCTAAAAACAAACAAAAGAAGTTTCATAATATTATTACCAAAACAGAATAATGTACTTAATTCTCAAACTTTTTAGTGATTTAGAGGTCAGTATTTATCAAACATTAACGTCAGATCATAATCTTCCATGGGAGTGGTAATGAAAACAATTTTGCAGCTTATAGAATTAATACACTGTAACACTGCAAGTTCTGAGAGCTACACAGACAGATGCTGAATTCGAATTCCAATCAAAAAGCCATATGCTATCTACAAGCTGCTTCAAATACACAGCCAGGTCAATGTGTTGACATGATTTAGTATAAACACAAATATTACAAAAGTGGCAGAAGATAAAATAAGCCTTAATCTCTCTCACCCTGTGGTGAGAGCTGTCTACTAGCCAAATTGGTAGACAGTAATTTACGTCAATGTTTACGTTCTCAATATCGGTCGTGAGAAAATATGAACAAAGACTGCTTCAAAAACCGACCACAGCAGACTTTGCGTAGGCGGATACAGTTAACATATAGATGATCTGACATTCAAGAAACAGTCACAAAGAGATGAAAGATTAACTTTAAGTGATAAACAACCAATCAGAAAACTGTGTTTGTTTGCTTAAATAATCTATAATGATGTACATGAAAATATATAAATATGCTTTGATTTCCTTAATAAAGGATCTGTTGCCTGGCCCTTGTCTTCTGTTGTTACAACCCCACCCTCCAACATTAATGAGATTAATTGTATACATAATCTTAAATGTTTTAAAAGTGACATAAATCAGGACAAGAAAGCCCAGCGTTATTAAACGAAAATCGATATGCAACTATTCATAATTGTGTCGAATCTCGGGCCTACAAAAATAACACTTCTTGCACAAAGCATTGATTACCATTATTATGAAAATCACCTTTTAAAAAAACATGTACATTTAGAAGTGCACACCTTACAATTTAAAATGACGACAACATATGTATTTGTACACGAGAATAACAAAATGATTAGGCGGGTATTCTAATTAGAAGTGATATACAAAGCAGAATTTAATTAATTTACAGTTGCAGCCTTACTGCATTTATTTTGATTGTGATCACTATCTGCCATTAGATGAGTACTAACACCCTGGATAAAGCATTGAAGTTAATTGCATGAAGAGCAGTTAAGTATGGATCTTTTACTTCTCACGACGACTGAATACTCAAGGAGCCTATAAAATCAGATAATTGATGAACATACGTTAGTTATCGCAGTTCGAAAACAATTATCCACCTTGTGATGAATAACACTGTGCACTATGATGATTGTTCTAGTATTAAGTTAGATGCATTTTGCCTTATCTTTATTTCATTCAGTTGTTATATTGTCTGAATCGAAATAAACTGGACAACAGTTTTTAGTTCATTTGTAATCCACTTAAGTTTGTTTGACAGCTTTGCTTTTACAAATTTATCTTCTAGTGACATAATACTTCATATCAGAAAGTGCAAGCGTTTTTTTTAAAGCTTCATACTTTTAATATTTACAAATTGATGTAAATGAGATGATTAGTCAACTTCTTGAAGCAGTCCATTTGATAAACTCAAATAAGACACTAAGGAAACAAATATCGAGATGTGATATCAAAAAAAAGTGTTTAACGTTTAATTAATAATACGAAATAAAAGGATACATTAATAACCAGTCATATTTCAGTAGGTTAAGTATTTCCACAGTAGAATAAGGCTGAAGTGTGTTATTTTTTAATACACAACTTAGAATGCACCTGGTAAACAGTCATTAATATTGATTTTGTAACCAAACATTTATACAATTGTTTAGTGATGGATGATACTGGACTTCTAATCAGATTAAGTGCATTTGGATTACCTATGTAACTTAACGGACACACTCTTTCCGATAGCATTGGAACATTTTATTTGTTCACTCCGATGCAGCTGCTGAATTTGTAAGTTTACTGCGATACAATGGAGTGAACAAAAATTTCATTTCAGCAGTTTTGTTCTCTTTCCCTTTATATGTTCCCTTTTGAATTGTTCATTCTCAAAGGCGCGTAAAATGTGCACGAGTAATACGCTAATTTAATCGATGAAATGCAGTCAAGTTTTGAGGATAAAAAAACGTCATGATGTCACAACAAGGCAAAAACAAACCCTTGTCTAATCAAGAGATATCTTTATCAAACTAACAGTTAAGACTGACCAACTCATATAACTGATAGCTCAAAGGCTTCAGTTAGCTGGCAAGTACACCACATGTTATGTCACATCACTTTCACTAACCTGTTGAACATTTCTCCTACCCGTTTCACGAATAAAGGAAGAAATGTTACAGACTCGAGAACTTCATACAAATCCAGCATTATCCATCACCAAAACATCATAGATTTCTGCTTACAAAATCTATATCCATAACTGTTTATCAATTATTTCACATGGTTCTAATTCAAGTTTATTTAAGATGATGGAAGCGCTTTGGATTAATCACATGCATTCCAAATTATGTGAATACAAACAACAGATTTCAACCTAAGTCTACTCTACACTATATACCTTATTAAAATAGGGTTGGTTATTAGTGTCCTTTCATTTCACATATTCAATAAATTCCAATATATATTTCGCCATGAATTGAAATCACTCAGAAAATCGTCAAAAATCAATGGGCAAGGGATGACCATTTAGTCCTAAGCTTGATCTCTTCACAGGGACAAATTTGCGGTTCCATTAGGAATGAAACTCAAGAAAATCAGCTTACTAGGTCAGTTCACTGGAAACACTCTGTATCTGATGTGAAGCTAAATGACACGTGAGTTCCAACTTGTGCAGTATACGGTAACAATCAACCAATGTCATTGAAAAGCATTCGCTGCACACATGACACAATATACTGAACCATACGGGTCACGATTTCTCACTTCAACTTTAGGATATCCACCCTGTGCTCACTTATGAGGAAACGGATATTTAGATTTCGATGTTTGTTGGTATTTTCAATTAATTTCGCTGAAATGTCAGTATGTTTCACAATGTGTAAAACTTCACTAACCTTCTAACAAGGGTGGTTCATTTTCGTAATCTTCTTCTTGCCCTTTGTAAACTGAACCGGATGAATACGGTGCTTGAGAGAAAGGGAGATTAAGAGGTCGTGTTGGGGTCGGATTTGTATTTTCGTATGAAAACTGACTAAACTGCCTACCAAAATACAATAAACGAAAGGTAAAAAATAAAGTAGTGAATCCCTTTGAAAACAGTTGAAAAAAGTCTTCGGGAAATAAATTACACGAAATCTCTTACAAATACGCGCGGCAGTTGATTTGTGGAGATTGGTCGAAGAACTACAAATAATCAACAATCATACTGAATGGTACGGCCTTACGAATACTAATCAATCCCACTGTTTTTCAATGTCATGTTTTATTGGCTACTTGGAAAGCACATAGGACAATCTTAACTACCGCAAGTCACAAAAAAGCCAAGTCTATAGCTGTTTCTGTTTTTCATCGGACTAGATACTCAATCTTGGATTCATACGGGAAAACACTCGAATTCTGTCTACTTTCCTGAAGTTCGTAAAGTTAAGCAGTACTATAGTGCTTTTAAAAAAATTCAGACGCATTGACGAATACTGTACGTAGGCGTCGAGTTCCCATGGGTAAACTTATGATTATGGCTACAAAGCTACCTATGCTGTCCATTAGTCTTGAGTACCATGACTTTATTTCGGCCGGCCTAATATGAAAAACGTAATCACAAGGTCCAGATGTTTATGAAGCAATTTTTGCCGTTCTATTGCTACATAAAGTGATGGAGAAATTGTTTTGTTTTCCTAATTACATCAAGATATGACTTTGGAATGGCAATTGTGTGAAACTCAAAGTATGATAGTCATTTGGGAAGTTGCACCAGTGGCAAAATTTCATTGCATCTACGGAAAAATCACTTTGAAGTAATGAATCATCTTTGGAGCCTGCAAGATATCCAGTGGTATACAAAATGGGATAACTTAGTTATCGGGAGCAGATTTTCCATATGACAGATTATGAGCCACACTTGTTTTGTGAAGTTTAGTGATGGCTCCCAGTCATTCAGCTGATGTGGTTAGATCTGGTTTCAAACCAAGTGACCAGTAGCTAAAGGTGATACGACATGACTATGAGCAAGTGAATGAGCGAAAGACGTAATCTAGTGAATAATATTGTATTACTAAATAATTTAGCAAATAAACAAGGCAACATGAAATTATGCTTTGACAAGAAGTCCAAGTTTCGTTCTTAAATGATAACGCTGAAATACTCAATCCAAAACAAAAAATCAGTCGATGGGATATTAGTTTGAACCATGTAGGCAAGTGGACATTTTTTGAATGTAGTCCCCAAAATGTTAGAAATCGTCAAATGTGGTTTTTGTGATACTGATAGAGGTCAATCACTATAACTCAGACATGCTTGGTTTTGATCCTCCTCCAAATTCTGAAAGTCTTGTTCATTTTGTTTTCTTACATTTACACTGCATCATTTTACTACCGCTTTGTCCTTTTTTGTCTGCTATTAGGGAATTTGGGTAGACTGAACTATTGCATTTAAGCATAATGCTCTACTTTGAACAGTGAAATCCTCCCTCCTCTTTAGCCACTGTTGGTATTTGTTCCACGAGGGATAGCATTATACAACTAAATGATAATTAACCCATTTAAATATTTGTTTTTTTTTACAGACTTACATTTCAGATGGGTTATAATAGTTGCTTTGCTGTGGAGAATTCGGGTGGTACATATTATATCCTTCGTAATTCATGATGTATGTGCTAAATTGAACCTGTTTTTTAGATCGTTGGCGAACGCAGTTTCAATTATTCAGTAGACTACAAGAAAAGTAAAGTTGACAACAATTAAGTGTACAGAAAACATTTCCTCTTGGTTATTTTAACGCATCAAAAGTATAACATTTAGGTAGAATAGCAATAATAAGAGAATACTATCCTACAATCAAAATACTATGTGGTAAATTATTGAGAGGTAAGATATAATAAAGTCAAGATATATTCAGAATACTGAAATAAACGGTTAAAAAAATGAATAAATGCTGATGGAAGCTTGTATTCAGAATAAAAGTTATGTTCAACTACTACAGTATAGTAGATGAGCAGGAAGAATTAGGTTGAAATGCTAATGAACCAGAACATCGTGCAATTTACAAACTAACGTGCACTCGATTTCCAACCCCTGATTCAATCCGGAAACCACCTTTAAAGGTTTCTGCATTAGATGCTATTACTTACTTTACTTCGGCTATCTCCTACGGGAGGATGAGTCGGCTTCATGAACAGAGAGTTCATGAAGTTTCATGGGAATTTGGTACGAGTGATGTCCCCAGAATCGCTCGGCCTTTTGTTTGAGAGTGCAGCTCTAGCCTTTACACAACCAAGTGTGACCTACAAGACAGTAGGAGTGGAGTAGGGAGCCCACTATCCATTGGCAGTCGGTGACCGGAGTTCGGTTCATACGCCTTTTTGAATGGGGCCAGACATCCAACAAGCCCTTTGTCCATACGTCTGCCGGTGAGCTCCAGTGAGCTTCATACGCCAGTCGTTGGAGGTTTGGAATCAGGGTTTAGCCATCTCCCCTAGACTGTCATCTAATGGACAGTCAACCCGGTGAAGAGCGCCGGGCATCGGCTTTCGCCCTCTCACTTTGCTGAAAAACACCTCCGCCACGTGAAGGCAATGAGTAGGACTTCCTCAGGAGAGGCTATGTAAGACGCTCGGTCATATGGGAGCATTTCAAGAGGTGTGCGGAGGGGTGGCCAACCGGCAGCGCAAGGCACCCACCACCGACCATCCTGAGGCTTTGGAGGCATACCAAATGTATTTATGTACAGTTGATTAATATGTAAGTATGCGTGAACATGGTATACAACTAACTTTGGTGACTACGAACGAGAACTCGAAACCAAATTTTATTATTACACTTCCTTCGCGCTTTGTATATTCTTCACCTACCGGTAACTTTCAAGGATAAGTACTGATCAACCATAAACTATGGATAAACAACAGTATTTAAAAAGTGCTATGAAGATGATAAGCAGTCACATATTCCAGGTGGTTGTGACTCATATGTTCTTGATTACATGAAAAGGGAATTTTTTATACAGTCACACTGATTAAAACCTTCAATTACCAAACGCTGGATTTTCGAAGCAACTTTTTGGCATCCATAAGTGCAATAGTTTGCATAAAGCTTTTTCTATGAGTCAAATTATATAATAACTGTTAACTGACTGTAAGGTTCGGTGGTCACAAAATGCAATAGAAATGAAAACAGCATATGTGTTTGGTAAAGAACGGAGGTTCTAGCCCATTCGAGTTACTGCCAGCATAACACGTGCCACTGATCAAGGACTTTCGGCGAGGCCTAAAACCTTAAGTGCAGCACTTCGAGAAGCAGTTTGGATAGTCTGCAGAGGCGGTATTCTAGACTTTAAAGCATAATTATTTGTGGTCGGATAACACCTGTGCGTCGAACGAAGTGTTTTAAGGCACTCAACTCAGACAGATTATCCTCGACTATAACAGACGGGGATAAAACAATAGTTAAGGAACTGAATAGATTGTCTGAGACGATATGAATGAGACGATTATTGTACCTACCTTCAATAAAAGTATACGTTATGTGTGTAGCATTAATCAAGGAATTAAGCAGAAGCTTGTCATATTAAAAACACTGGGTGTTATCACACCTTTAAACCTTTGCCAAAAGCGTGAGGAACTCATTTGTGAAGAACAGGCTGGGTTTCTTTCAAGTTGTGTGTTGATTACATACTTATTTTCCGACAGCTGCCTGAAGTCAATGCACTGATTGCGTATCATCTGGCTGAAAATGTCTGTTGAAAGTTCATCAATATTTTGAAAGCCATATAAAAATTCTCAAGCAGCATCAAAATGTTCCTCACCAACAGTGGGGGTGGAGAAGACCTAAATAATTTCATCATCCCACTTGAACTCCGCCATCAAGAGTATTCTGGAAACGCTTATAAAAGATACGTTTGGTGATTTTTCATCTGAAGTGTTGACAATAAATGGTGCCAATAAGGGGTGCCCACTGTCCTTATTCTTGTTTAATTCCATCACGGATGTAGTAATGGAATCAACCTCAACTGAGTTTAGCGACTTAGAGATTGAGTTGTTACCAGGAAACAGCCTTGTAGACGTACAGTATTATTAATTTTATTCCGTTGCGTTCCGAGGGAAGAAGGGCTTCGAACTTGAAGTTTCAGTAGCGGTTGTGTTATTTTTTACGAGACGGGGTTGCCAACCGCACGCCAAATCTCCTCTCTTTACTAGACATACTACCATCATATGATATTGTCCTCCTAGGTGAAGACTGAATACATTGGACAGAAATCTTCTAGTGTTTACCATACAACCCTCTGTTGTCAAATGTTAGGTGACGCCACAAGACTGAACTACACTGCATCTTAGCTGAAAGACAGGGAGTAAGGTGGTTGAGTGTGTTGCATCAATCCTAATGGACTGATGGCTAACGAAACGTCAGAATGGATACAAAATGGCTCGTATGGCATTTGCCAACTTAGGTCATCTGTGGCGTAGACATGATATCCATTTATTGATTGAGGGACATGTGTACTGCACAGCAGTTCGCTGTCCTTTCTTGTGGCTGAGACAGCTTTTGAAAGTGAAAGATATAAAAAGGTTAGCTGTCTCTGACCGCAGATGTTTGAGTTTTTTGTCTGGTGTTAAGCGGTATAACATTGCCAGTAATATTGAGGTTAGGCATAGAGTAGTAAGTAAAGAAGGGAGATCAATCGATAAGGATGTGAGTCTACATCGATTGAGTTACCTAGGACATGTGCTCATTATGTCAAGTCACTGCCTACCTCGACCAGCAACGTCAGCAGACATAAGATTAGGTTCAAAGTGGCCAAACGAAGACATGGTGTCAATCTATGAAGCCTCTGACAGCCAGTTTGAACCACATGGGGAGGTGTAGGTTGCCCGATTGGGGATGACAAGGACCAATGGCTGGAGACGGTTTGTGGTACGGCTCAAAATCGTTGTCAGCAGTGCAGATGCATTCGTTGTCTGTAATCAATCAGGTCCCCTAAATCCTTATGGTTTTCCGTGTTACTACTGTTTCGCTCATACATTGCTGCTCAGTATAGTTCTCTTTAATTGCTTATTCTTTCTTATCTCTACCTTTGTGTGCTACATGGAGTGTGGTGAATTATAATTCTGTGTTGAAATTGTCACTCAGACGTTTGGTGATACTAGTTCTACCTGGATAACGACGATTTGACCTCAATATTTTGATATTGGAGCACTTCACTCCTTATTTTCAAACTGGGAGTTCGTGCAGACCAGTCCTGTAGCATCATCTTACATTTGTCGAACATAATCAAGTTTACTCAGGGTATTGATAGGACTACGTTTTTCAGCCTCTATGCTATAAAAGACAACATCTGCGTATTCCGGATCAACACCACTTTACCGCAGTAACACGTAAAAGCCTACTAGAATTACACCCATCAATACACTGATAATTAAATTAAGTAATTAGTGACATTTGGCTCTTTACAAGCTCCAAGCTGAGAGTTTGAGTGATCTTCGTCAAAATAATATAATTCCAGGCACTCCCTTCAGTTAACAACTATCACAGCACCACTCAATTGAGGGAGTAAAATGACCCCTCAAGTGAAAATGTAAGTCAATGTTTAGCATGAACATTTCAGTCTACCTTAAAGTAAACATATGTCCAATGCACGCTGACTACAAATGATTACTCCTGTCGTACTCAGATGCAACTGGTTACCTCCAAAAACGAGGAACTCGTTCTATCGTCAAAGCTTTGACACAAGATTATCATGAATATTTGGTGTTTACTGATATTGTTTACATGTACCGATTAGTGTATAACTGAAGTCTACGCAGGTAGTCTGAAAGAGACGAAAACCTCCCACCGACCTCTATCCATAAGTAATTCCGCAAGAGTTGGTAAATGCATTTGCTAGGTAAGACTGTCTTTATTTTGGAACTTACCGCTGCCCGGCAACAGATTACTGCCTAAACAAAACTACTAAATGTGATTACCGATTCTTCTGGGAAACCATATATACCCCCAACATTTATGGTTATGTCTTGCTTGAGCAATGAATTCGCCCGTTAGAAACTACAACTGAGCACCAATCAAGTGTAGTGATGAACTGTTACCCTCAGGGTGCATTCAGGAGCAGCAACTGTTTGTTAGGATCTAATATTTGAGTGAGTTTTGTGTCGAAGCTTAATTCTATACCAACAGCAGGATCTACGAAGAATAGTTTATGAGTTTTGGTACCAGTTGGGTGAATTTTGTACGGTCACTATGTTAGCCAGTTAAGATTAAGTGAATAACTACGTCAGTATTTTAGACATACCAACTAATTCCAGAGCTCAAGATGTCAAAGTTCTGCAGAGGCAAATTAATATTCAGATACCATTCCAGGGACTTAATAAATTTGTCTGACACTTCTACTCTGTGTACAAGATAAGATTAGCACGAAGTCTTTCATTTAGTGCTACAAAAGGAAACAACAAAATATCCTACGTCATCCGAATGTTATGGTATTATACTGCTACAACACAAGTTAGCGCTAATTATAATTAAAATTTTGACTTAAACAGGGGCTTTTGACAACGGATGTCAGATAAAGAACTTACTTGTTCTACTCTGACGAACTTTTCTACCCTAATGTTCTTTTCTGACACGCGATAAGTAATCTTACTAATGCCTCACCACGTCTAGGTCAAAGGTCCAATTTATCGTAATTTAGACTAACAAATTTTGATGAGACATTTTGCAAGCTGAAAGACTCCCTGTTATTGTTATCTGCCTACTAATTAGAGTTGCGCCTATTTATTATTTCTATATCCACATAAAACACCTCTGATTTATTTTAATAAACATCCTCTAATGCCCAATATACATGTCTCGAACTTCTCGAAAATCAAGGCAAAACTATATTTTGATCCTCCAACGTCTGAATTTTTGTTTAGGAGCAAAAATTAAAGGCAGTGATGTATGCTTAGCTAACTAGAGATTGTGAACGTACTTTAGATGAATAATCTTTTGAAAACTTTTTCCAAGACTATCTGTTTACTGTATTGATACTTATGTGGATATTTCATCAAACTTTATAACTGCTCCGTTTTCTCTTGAGGTGCCTATCATTGTTCTGACGTTCGCATGTCAACTGTTGACTTAATTCGTATTATTCGTCTTTGTCCTTGTTCAATCCACAACTTAAATACTTCTCTTTGTGGTTGTGAAATGGTGCTAATAATGCGTTATTTTACGATTGTGACTTTGTCTGCAGGAAGTCAAGATTTCCTGTGGGGGTTTGGTATATTTTTGATTCTCAGGTACTTCTTAAGGCTAGTGTTTACTTGACTAAATTTGTAGGACAATACTTGCTTTGCAATCAAGAATCTCTTGACCTTTGTAGCTGCCTAGCTGCTTTGTTGAGGTAATTTTGCGTATTTGATATTGTTATTGTTGAATAGTACAGAAGATTTTATCTCGAATAACTGTCTTCCCGTCACCGTCAGGAAAGGTTGGGTCTGTTTGGAAACAGGGATGTTTTGTTTAGCAACACTGTGGAACGCAAGGTTTGGTTTCTTGTGTTCAGGTATGAACCAGCCGGTCGAACACCCGAACTTAACACGACAGTGGGTTAAAATGCTCTGAATGCTTCGCGCACACCTTTATCCTCACCGGTCGACTTTAGTTGTCACAGTCACCATCCAGTGCTGAATAATGAAAGCTATAGACTGTACGTTGTTGAGCATTTTTTGACAACAATTTGGAACGTTTGTTTTCGTAAGCACTTCAGCAGTCCACGCCTCAGCGATTCGTTTAAATTGTTTGACTGAGTTGCTGACGGAGAATGTAGCTGTATCCGCTAAATTTAGTGTCACATCGTAGATATAAATTAGCTAGGTAGCAGTGATTTTTACGCTCAAACACTAGTCACCACAGCTCGGTCAGCAGCGATCTCTGTTCATTTTGTACCACAAAGAGTAATAATGTCCTTGGGCTATTCGATGATCCACCGTATCATAAGCTGAAGTGCCAACTAACCTGCCGACGAATAATTCCCGCATTCATGTAACACTTGCACCAGAATCAATTTTGTGTATTCTAACTGATTATTCAACAGTGTGGTTAGTTTTCGCTGTATTAGGGAATGTTTCTTCTTAGGCATGTTTCTGCCAAACGACAGGTTTGGTACCCCATGTTTATTTGCACACTTTCGAGTCACACTTACTGTTCATATATAATATCACGTTTTCACTTTTGTCTTTTGACGTAGCGTCGGCGCATGTGAGTAAAACGAAATATTTGAAATACAAGGGATACTGAAGACACTGTTCTATTTTCATATGTCGCAGATGATTCAAGTCACCTTCTGCAACAGGTTCACTAATACCAAAATTTATGATGAATCTGAATCCACTTTCAGTCACTTTTTGTCTATCTGACACAAGATTTTCAGTCTTGGGTGTCAAACACTGGAATATGATGTGCAACACTGAAGCCAAAACATTATTTCTCGATCGTTCAGCTACCCGGCTTTGAACATTTGTCAACGCTGGTCAAAATTTTGAGACACTTGGGGCTCCCAGGAGAAAACTCTGAATCCGTGATTGCAGTCAGTCTCATTTGTAGACGAATAAAATCTGGAATAGCAATATCTCAAGCCCCAGTGTTGATGAATTAATATTTAAATCCGTCACACACAATGAGGTCTATTTCGAATTTTTATTTTGACAGTAGACAGTTCATTATCAACATGAGCTACAGTTCTCGTCACAACGTGGTCTTAGCTTTCATTACGTTTAGGTTACCCTCCATGGCGCGTAGGGCAGTTAGACAGCCTTGCCATTTTGAGTTATTTGACAAACCTGCAAATATTTGTTTTACCATAGACTAGGCATCTAGTGGCTTCGAACCCACTGCGCACATTTCCTCCATGTATCTAGCATCCCGTTAGCAGAAGTTCCCAAGTCCTGCAACCACAACCTTCACTCACTGTTGTAACCTGAGTGAAAACAGTGAATCACAGTCAATCACCGAATTCTCTTCTACCCATGAACTAACTCATACACCTCAGAATGTCTACGGTGGATCAGTGTCTTAAAGCAGCATAGCCTAAGAGTCCAGCATAACACTCCTAACCTGAATGGTCACTCTTTTCTCAATTGTCACCGTAAAAGGACTGTCAGATTTACTTGCTTCTCGGATCATAGTATGCTCTGTCGTCTGTCCGTTTATTTCAAACAAAAGTTTAAATTAAACTTATGGGAATTGCAGGCAGGCATCGGTGGCATTGTATTTGTGGAAATCGTCTAGTGTGCATGAAGGCCATGTTTTGGCTGTCAGGGAAGACACAGCTATTTGCATCGGCTGAGTGACCATCGGTTTAGAGCGTATAGCTGTTTGGTGTTTAGCCCAATTTTGTATAGATATTGAAAAACTGTATTGCCGCATACAAATCTTCAGGTGCAGAATAGAACGAACTCAAAGGACTTAAAAAGCGATTTATTGGCTCAAGTGCAGCTTATCACTAGTACTGCCAGTGCCTTACACAGTCCTCACTTCACGTTAACTTTTACGTCTAATACTGCACCCTTAAACTCTAAAGTTGTACTTTGTATGCCATTTTGAATTTTTTGTTGAGTGAACCATTCGTGGTTCGTTGGACCTTTGTACATGTTTGCTTGAATTCACGTAGTGTTAGCCAAGAGCTGGTCTCAGTTTGGCAAATGTGTTCGTTGTTCTTGGATGCCGGACAACCTCATACCTTGCAATAGTTTAATAATTCCCATTGTAGCATAAGAATACAATGTTCAGCAAGGTGAATTTTCAATGAATTTATTATCAAGCTGTATAATGGTGTATTTGTGTTTCTTAAAGAAATTTTTTGCTGCAAGGGAATTGAACCAAAGGTGTGAATACATGGAATAATAATAGTATGAAATGCAATTAAAATATTTGTGATTGTAATCACAGTTAAATGCTAAGCGGCAAAACAATAATTGTTATATATAGAATAATTTATAAAATGTATAGATGTTGGAAAGGGGTGTATAATTAGCAGGCGAATATAAAATGTTGCATAACATGGTGTGAAATTTGATAAGATAGCATTCAATATTGTAAAAATATAATAATTTTGGATTTAGAATGATAAACGGAACAAGCGAAAACAATTCAAAGTCAGAATAGTAATAATAATAACAGTCGTGGTAATGGGGAAAGGTAGATGGATGAACTAAATACGCAAAATAAATAAATAAATGTCTATTCACCCACGGCTAAGGCATAAGTAGGGATTGCACATACTTCGTTTGTACGCAAAGGTATGGCTTAAGTTCATGAATGGCCAGGGCCTCAACTCTCCTTAGACGTTTAGGACGAAGAAAACGCGGCAAGCTAGAATGGATTCGGTAGATGATCTTAAAATCATGGTCTGGGTTGGCAGAGTTACAGGAATGAATCAGGTGTCCCAGAATATGGCTTTGCACACTATTTCCTTTTCCTTTGCAAAACCATGTTTTCGTATCCTTGTGGGAGGCTTTCACTGGCTACGGGCAAATTACTTTGCTCCGTAAGAACAAATAAACTGATTGATGCAGATGGAGGTGGCCAGAAGGGGGAGCTTATCTTTTACAGAGATAGAGAACAAATAGCAGCTGGTGAACGTTATTTGTAATCTTGCCACAAAGAAAGTCTTAATGACTGATTTAGAGGAACGGTTTTTGAGCACATCTGAAGCCCGATCATCTTTGAATTCCAAGTGCATGAATACCCTTTTCTTTGGAACTAGGTCAGTGACCAGTTTGGACTGCTTATCTTCCGTGTAACTGTCAATAAATCTGTTCGGGTAGACATTTTCTGCGAGCGCGGTTTCTAGGAAGTCAAGTTCTGGGTCGACGCAACCAGAACTACAAATGTTGCTTATCCTGAAGCAGAGCGAATGAATTAGATTCCTTTTCCTCATGATAGGCACCCATCTATAAAAAGTAGTAAGTTGTCCATTTCATGTTCGTTTCCGGTGGATGGATCTTTTGAGAGATTCGTCATTGAGTCTGCTGAGGCACACATCAAGAAACGGAACACTCAGTTCAGATTCCTTTTCTGTTGTGAATTGTAACAAGGATGCCAGTGGTTGAAAGCAAACAAGACATTACCAGAAATTGCGTTTACGTATCTCCTATAAATGTCAAAGTGACCGATTGTCTGACCAAGTTTAGAATTTTCAAGCTATGTCATAAAACAATAGACCAGCAATGGGCACATAGGCGATCCCATCGCAGTGTCATCTCTCTGTGTAAAAATCTCATCATTGAAGGTGAACTGAACATTCGACGTGCATCTCAATAAAGGTTCTTTGAGGCAGATTGTTGGCAACCCTATTCCTAAACTATGTATCAATCTAATCACATAAATAGAAACAGTTTCCATAAGAGTTACATTAGTAAATAGTGAAATCACGTCAAATGAGAACATGGCTTTGCCTGAGACATTAAAATCTTTAATATCCCAATAAATTTAAATGTATCATCAATGGAAAATTTAGACGCTTGCCTCCTTACCGGTTCCAGTAGCCATTGAGAGATCCTGTATTAAGGAAAACCCGCTATACAGAGAATTGGATGCAGAGGTGATCTTGTTCGTGAAATTTCAGTAGTCCATACAAACGTGGTATAATGAAAACTGCTGTTCGGGTGCGTTCATATATATCTGACG